ATTAAATATAGATATTATATATAGTAAATGCGTCTATTACATACATTATATATTAAATATAGACATACACTATAGATATGTAAAACATACATAGATATTACACATACAGTAGATATATACACACATATATCCTAAAAAGTGAGTAAAATCTTTTAATGTATTTAAATTGTTTTAATTTAAATAATACATGTTTTTCAGTGACAGTACTTTTAAAACCCCATTTATTCATTCAGACACTTATCGGTGCCTTCTCTGTCTGGGGCCAGAGAGGGGCAAACCTTCCCGTAAAGGTCAGACTTAGGGAGTGTCTTGGGCTTCGGCCACCGCACTGTCTGCAGCCGTATCGGCAGGAAAGCAGCACAGGCAGGGCATGGATGAGTGCGCACGGCTGTGTGCCAATAAAACTTTATTTACAGCAGGTACTGACATTGGCATTTCAGTATTTTTTTTTATCCTTACCTGAGGACATTTTTGCATTTATCTTCAGATAGAGCGGGAGGGAGGGAGAGAGAGAGAGAGAAACATCAGTGTGAGAAAGACACATCGAGTGGCTGCCACCCGCACAACCCAACCAGGGCCAGGGACAAACCGCAACCGAGGTACGTGCCCTTAGCGGGAGCTGAACCTGGGACTCTCTAACCACTGAGCCAAACTGGCCAGGGCTCAAATAATTTTAATGTATCACAAATTCGTGTTCCTCAGGTTTTTTTCCAACCATTTAACAATATAAAATCTTTTTAACTTGCAGCCACACAAAAACACGGGCCAGCATTCACCTGTTCTCAGCAGTGTTCTGGCCACAGACGGAGCAGCGACCGGACCGTCCCTGTCTCCGGGGCCGAGCTCTGGCGTCCGCGCAGGCACTGCCGAAGGGGCCCGGAGAGGGTGCTGCCTCTTAGTGAGGGGGCCTCTCCTCCACGCTCCAGTTGTGACGTTAACTCCCGACTTGACTGTGAGGGCGAATTGGGCACATGCTCTGCTGGCGAGGACTTGCTTGTCGGGAGGAGTCTGTGCCGTGGTGTCTTCCGGCCTCCGCCTTTCTGCCCTGCTGGTGCGGTTGCCCAGCTTGCACCGGCCTCAGGTCCAGTGCCCAGCCGAGCCTCTGGACCCCGTGGCACAGCTGCTTGGAGTCGGAGCCGCTCTCGCTTCCCCCTTCCCAGGCCCGGGGGACCCAGGCTGCTGCCACCGCTGTCTTTGTCCTGCTCGAGGACACCCGGGAGCTCTGGGGAAGAGCTCCAGCCCCGTGGAGCCCTCGCTGCCCGCCCGCCCGCCCGCGGTCAGTGCATGGCCGGCCTGTGACAAACAGGCTCACGCCTTCTGTTTATAGTAGCCATGGCAACCTTAGAAGCTTTCTTTCTGAAGCTAAGCATACAAGAAAGCACTTCAAGTGTTGGTGGATTAGAGACTTTAGAAGATGTTTAATTTTCTCCCCCACTCTCTTTCTCTCTGTCTCTTTGCAGGGGGACGAGAGGGCAATGTGCGTATTAGCTGGGACTCGCTTTCATCTCCCCTGGGCTACTTGGGGCGTCTGGGCGCGGCTTTCCCAGGGCGCGGGAGCGCATGCATATTCATGAGCGGACTTGTGCGGGCAGCTTCCAGCCCTGGCCGCCTTCCTCTCCAGCTCACTTTGTGAAGGAACGGCTATTAAAATTTGTTTTCAAAATTATGATTAAGTCGGAGATCCTAGACAGTAGTTCTAAAGTGCCCTCACTGGAAACGGACAGATGAGAGGCGTTTGTGTGGTGGTTTAGCCAGCACCCTCCCCAGAAGGAGGGGCTCCCTGGGGGAGCGCGTCTGCAGGAAGGGTGTGGCCGCACTGGTGTTCTCAGCGCCGGGACCCTCCTTAAGGAGGAAGTAGACTCAGCTCCCTGATCTGAGGATGCGAAACAGTTCAGGGACATTGGGGGTTGCTGTCGTCCATGCGCTCCTTCCCGTTTCCAAGGCCCTCAGAAGGAGGGACGGGGTGTGGCTCTGCGGCTGCTCCCCCAGCCCCTCTGCTCGCTGCCCTCCCTTCCGCTCACGACCTCGCTGCTGGGGCTTCGGTGCTCCCTCAGCTGGGGGTCCAGGGCGCCACTCCCTGCACCTGCTCCTCCGGAGAGTCTGACCTTCCTGCTGCACTGGCCCAGCTGGAACCCGCCTCACCTGGGCGCCCGCGGCTCTGACGGGGCCCTTCACCCAGCTCCTCTTCCATGCCCCTCCTGGCCTGCTTGTCACATGGCAGTCGTGCCTGTTTTCCAAAAGAAATTAGCTACCAAAACCTTTAAGGGTGAAGTGCTATTAAAATACTGTAACAGTATTTTCATAGAATGTGCTGGTTGCCTCCCCAGATGAAGATGATTGAAGTCCGCGCTCCCCCGTCCACACGGGCTTCTCCTGAGCGCTGGGGCTTGTGGTCAGGCCTTGATCCGCACAGGTCAGCCTCCTTGCCTGGGCTGCATTTATATCGGTTCACTTCCATCCAGTCTCAGCCCTGCAAAGCCCGACTCAGCAACCACACGAGAACCGGCCTGTCAGACCCCTCCCGGCCCTGCTTGGATTGGGACAGAGGTGAAGAAGGCATCGGCTTGCTCACGAGGAGTCCGTGGGTGCTGGGGAGACAGAAATGTGAGCATAGTCAGCTACACGACAACACTTAGGGTTGGAGATTAGACCGGTGCTGGGGGGCAGGTGTCAGTCAGGTGTGGCTCCTGCCCGTGAACAGTGGGGACAGTGCAGTGAGAGCCGAGAGGGAAGCTTTGGGGACGTGCTGCGGGCATGCCTGGCCATCTGGGGTCCAGGTAGCCGGGACGGAAGGAAAAGGCAGGTGAGGGTGAGGCACACCCAGTGCAGGGACCTGAGTGTGGATTGTGGTGTCGCTGAGGCTCAGGTGTGAAGGGCACCTAGCGAGAGCGGCCGCAGGGCCTGGTGGCGGGGTCTTGTTTGCCCTGTGACTGACTGATGCCCGGAAGCTCCAGGTGACGGCTTCCCTCCAGGGACACTGGCTTTGCAGCAGGGACGAGGCTCCCTCGGCTCCCCGGTTCCCAGGCCAACCGGCCCTCCAGTTTCCCGGGGCTCTCAGTGCAGTGATGAGATTTTGGGTTTTCCACTTTAAGTGATATTTAAGTGAATAACCAGGAAGCCTCAGGAAGAGGTCTTCTGCTACTAGCATTTAGCAGTAGAGAGTTAAACACATAAGCTAAAATTCTCTAATCTTACCTACACTTTCCTGCCTAAATTTACCCCTTTTCTAGTGCCTACTCCCTCAGCAGACCTCATGATCCCTGCCTCTCTTTCCCGACACACGTGAGGAAGTGGGTTTGCGTGACGATTCCGTCCTGGGTGAGAAATCAGTGGCAGCAAACGATTCACTGTTTAGAAACTCAGTGATAGGTTGGAAGTGTTTGTCACCGGGATGATTATTTGTATTCTCTGTACCGGCACAAGGTTGGGGTGTGGCGATTGTGGAAGAGGGAGAAATTTAAATTTAGGTTTTATGCGTTTGAATATTTTCTGTCTCCAGAAAAGAAATCACGTTTACCAAGGACGCGGGCTTCCTCCTGAAAGGGTGACAGGAGACGGCAGAGAGAACATTCCCACCGGGGGCTGATCACGGGTCAGCATCAGCCCGGCAGCTCCCTGTGCCCTCCGGAAAGGGTTCGGCACTCATACCCACCGTGGTGTCAGTGCTAACCCGGAGACCGATGGGTCACTGGCTCCGCACTGGGCTGCCGGCCCGCGGCCCCTGCTGTGGGAGCCGGGAAGGCGCCCGCGGGACCACGGGCCGGGAGCTCGCCTGTGTGCGCGAGGACAGCGTCCCGAATGAACAGGGAGCCGCGCGTGTCCTGCGTTTGTCTTCTGACTTCAGGGGGGCTCCTCTTCGCTGTGAGGTTCTTGCGCCAGGGAACCGCTCGCCCGCGCTCTCCGAGCCCTCCCCAGGGGCCGCGGGCTGTGTGCACGGGAGCAGACAGCATGGGGCGTCGGCTCTGTGGGGACACACGCAGCTTGGCGTCAGAAACGCCTGCCTGGGAAGCTCCGGGCACCGGGGCAGGACGCGCTTTCCGGCTGCTTCCATCCAGCGGGGGAGGCGCTCACGGGGAAGGTGTGTGTCCCTCCCAGGCCCTGTGCCCTGCGCTTCTGTGTCCCTGGATCTGACGCGAGCTGTCCCTGCCGCTGCCGCTTGTTAATCCTCATCCAAGGACATTTTCCAGTGACTGTCAGAGTGGAAGGGAGGGAGGGAGACACATCCGTTGGTTGCCTCCTGCACAACCCCGACGAGGGCCAGGGGTCAAACCTACAACCCAGGTGTGTGCCCTTGACCGGGAGTTGAACCTGAGAGTCTTGGGTCCGCAGGTTCACACAGAGCCCGGAGGCCTGGGCCCTACAGGCCTTTTATTGAGACGCCCTGGAGGGCAGCTCACTGCTTTCGTGAGGTTGGCACAGCCCTTGGAAGCTGAGGCGCAGACCTGGTAGGTCCCACCAGGAAGCCCGCCTGCTCGGTGGCATCTCCTGCCCGCTGTAAGGTCCGTGCTGAACCGTTAGACCAGGGCTGGGCCGTGGCGAGTGCGGGCGAGCTGCCCCTCAGAGCACATGCTCAGCCTGAGCGGCAGATCCTCGCAGGCTCCCCGGCTCCGTCGTTAAAGGAAGGACAGGGGTGCCATTGTGACTCCCAGGAAAGATTATCCGTGTGTGTGTGCATGTGTGTGTGCGCATGTGTGTGTGTGTGCATGCGTGCACACACTGGTGTTCTTAAACTTCAGGCGCAGCTAGTCTGAGCCTTTGCTTCCTTCTCCATTCATCAGCTTGTCCTGTGTGCAGCTCCTCGACACGCGTGTGCCTGTGTGTGTGTCATATTATCTTTGTGTGTTTCCTGCTTTGGATGCGTGGCCGTGGCACATCCTCAGGCAAAGCCCCACGGAGCTGGGGTCTCGGTGTCGCTGTGCCTCCCTCCACCCGCCCAGCAGAGCTCACAGGAGTTTCTGAAGCTGAACGCGTGTGGGCAGACTCCTTGACTCTGGTTCCAGTCCTGATCCAGTGGGTGGTGTACGCCATCCGGAACCTCACGGAGGACAACAGCCAGAACCAGGATCTGATCGCCAAGATGGAGGAGCAGGGCCTGGCCGACGCATCCCTGCTCAAAAAGATGGGCTTCGAAGTGGAGAAGAGGGGTGACAAGCTGGTTCTGAAAGCGACCAGTGACACCCCTCCGCCGGTGAGTATCTGGAGCGAGCGGTTCCCGGGACCCTGGACCTGACCCAGTGTCTTCTGGGAGCAGGGCCGGAGCGTTGTGCCCCTGAAATGGCAAAGACGGCCCTCGATCTAATTGCCGGTGATTTTTCCAGGCTTCATGCTGCCGTTTCCTCAGTAGTTGAGATCGCAAACCTGTATGGTGGGGACACGAGTAAACAGCGCGTCACACTGGGTGGGTCTGAAGGTTGGCAGCAATGAGACTCCTGTGGGACGCCCGTGTTGGCTCGGATGAAGAGCAGAGCCCTGCTCAGCACCGAAGGGCTGTCAGGCGTTTCGGTCATTTCTGACCACTGACCAAATTCTCTGTTTCTTCCTTTCGTGATTCTTGGAAATAGATCCGTTATATATGCGATTGTGTTTCTTTTTTCTTAGTGAGTGAACTCTCCATCCAAATGCCTGGATTGCTGACGCCTGCTTCGCGGATTTTCTTCGGCAGCGTGTGAAGTTGCAAGTGTTTGAAGATGCAGTGCCCATTCGGGAGCTCGTGATGCTTTTAGATAATAGAGTTCAGTGTGTTTAACTTAGAAGCGAACGTACACGAGTATGCTGTTATTTCTGTGCTTTGAAACGTCTGTCTGGTGAGCCTCACCCACGGACCCAGCGTGCATGTAAGTCGTCGAATGTCGGTGCTGTGGCAGTGCTGGCCTTCTGCTGGGGGCCCGGCTGGGCAGAGGTGCGGCCTTTGCTGGGGGCCCGTCTGTCCTTCAGATGGCGAGCAGCCTCAATCCTTGCTTCTCCTCTCCTTGGGCGTCCTGAACTCTGCAGGCAGCTAAGTAGCTCACTGTGACCAGTTCTCGCCATCTCTGCACCCTGCGCCTCTCCAGAGCGCTGGCCAGACGCGTTCCGGCTCACTGCTGCGAGAGGCTGGGGGAGAGCTCAGCCTCTCGTGTTAGGTGCTGGCTGCGTTGTCACCGGCCTGTCCCTTTGGAGTTCTGCAGGGTGTAGAGGACATGGGGCCATTCACTGTTTTGTTCCGTCACCCTAGAAGTCAGCTTCTCAAAACCTGTGCTGTGCAGAGCGGCCGTCTGTCCTCACCCGCGTGCCTCCGGGGGCAGGGCGCTCTGTTGTCGGGCCGGGCGCCTGCACTGCAGGGGGCCTGTCTCCTCCCGGGAAGGCCCCACTCCGTGCTGGCCGTGCCTCGCTGGGATCGCAGCAGGACTAGTCTGACCTGGGTCTGTCTGTCTGTCTGTCTCTTCCTTCTGTGTCCCTGTTCGAATAGACCTGGAGAGTGAGCACCACAATCTCACTCTCGGTACGTCGCTCAGACACCTGGAGGTTCTGCATAATTCATGTTGAACCTTCCCAGTGAAATGACGGAGAGCCACCAGACACTTTTCAAAACACTGAGTGTCTCTCAGTGAAGTGCTTCTGTTTTCTGTGCCACACTTACACTGCTTTGTAAAACTGCCCAAGCATGTTAAGACAATAAAAGTTTTCCACTGTGTTATCTCACGTGCTCTGTGTCACCTGAAGTAATGTCAGCGTCTAGGGTTGTGGGAATCCGCAAACCACATGTTAGCTGTCCCTAGGGACACTCCACCAGTGACGAAGCCACTGCAAAATGTAATCTGCACAAAGAAGCCCTCTCTCGGGGGACACAGAGTTCATGTCCCGCTCTCAGTGGGACAGGCCAAGGGGAGAGCAGGGGGAGCCCCTTCCACGGGTTTGCAGGGGACACTTTGCTGCTCCTCTCAGTGGACGTGTGCACACCAGTGGAGTCACACGGAGACACAAGGACATGCAGGGAGCTGTGGGAGCAGAGTGGGAAAGGGTCTGTGTTTTCTAATAGGAGGCACGGGGCTTGCAGGGAAACTGGACGGCCTGGGGCTGCTCGGTGCTCTGGGCCGATCAGGGCTGGGCACAGCGGCTTCCCCGCCCTCCCCCGCCCCCCAGCGGGCGCAGAGCTTCCGGGAACCTGGATCCACGTGCTGCAGATTAACTCGCCTCCCCCGCCAGTCACTCAGGAGAGGGAGGCCAGGCAGGCCAGCCTTCCGAAACGTGGGGAGACAGAGTGGCCACCGCCAGCTTTGGGACCCTCTCCAGCCCACACCCACAGCAGGCCCCTGCTCAGCCTGCTCTGTGCATGGGCGGGGAGGCCGTCTGCGTGCCGCAGACCCAGTCCAGGCGCTGCAGGGTCCTGTTCATCTTCACGGTGGCTGCTGGTCTTTCAAGGACAGTCTTAAAGTTTTAGTAACATGCTGCACACACGTGTGCGTGTGCGCATGTGCATGTAGATCCGCATGGATGCATCTCATGGGCTTGGTGTTTTTGAGGGGCGCTAGTACCGAGGCATGTTCTTCGTTCAGTAACTTCTGAATCGGACCACACGGCTTTGCACATTACTCAGACATGACTGCATGCAGAATGGGACAGAGCAAATGACTGAGGTCATTTAGTCCACCAGTTAGTAAATTTAAATCAAAATTTAAATCTTAAATCTGTATATTTTGTGTCCATTATTTTGAAGACATTGATAGGCAAATCTTATAACTATGATTTAAATGTTATTGAAATGATTTTTGTTTTTTTACTGTCTTTTCATTTCTATCCTCAAATGAGTAAAAGATGCTGAAACAAAAATGCCAGTCTTTCTTGCAGGAGGAAGACTTTTTAAAAGTAGGTATTCAGCGTCAACCCTGCACCAAGAGATCGCCGGTTCGATTCCTGGTCAGGGCACATGCCCAGGTTGTGGGCCTGATCCCCAGTGGGGGGCGTGCAGGAGGCGGCCAGTCGATGTTCTCTCTCATCCATGTTTCTCTCTCTCTCTCTCTCTCTCTCACTTCTTCTCTCTCTAAAATCAATAAAGGGTAAAAATAAATTCTATCATTGGTAAGTTATGCATGTAAACATGAAAGAATCCATTTTTACATGACAGTCAGTAAAATTAAGACTTTTAAAATGCAGAGAAGTTTGGGACAAACCTTAACATTTAAGATTTAATACAAAACCAGTCCTTTGGAGAAGCAAGTCCTTGCGGTGCTGTCCAAGGTTCTGATAATCCCAGCTTCTGTGGCCTGTTGTGGAAAACACAAAAAACCCTGTTCTCAAAATTCAGGTTTCCCCCTTGCATCCGTGTGACACGATACCTGTTTTCTCCTCCCGCTTCGTTTTCTGTCCTCACTTGGGTTTCTTTCAGTCACACCTTGTTTGGGCAACGTTGCACAATATGACTGATGTGTCATCTGCAACATATATGAATCTTAAAGGGACACTTTCTGTAAAGTCGTGGTTACAGTATTAACTCATTCATCAGACCTTCTTCATGACAAGCAGTCAATTATGTCAATGAAAATGACTTTTGGGAGGTTTTGATAAGTGTTTATTTTTGCTTACGTTAAAACCTAAATTAGAAACAAGTGAAATGTTTCTTTTTGTTTAAACAATGTAACTCCGTCCTTCGCTCACACAGGGAGCTGCAGGGCTCGCGTCCTGTCGAGCTCCCGTGTGCCTGCGGCCTGGAGCCGGCTTTGCGAGGGCCCTGGTCACCGTCCCTCCCTGTGCCGGCCCCTGGCACACCCACCTGCAGGAGGGCTGGGGCTACCGGGACGTGGACGACGAAGTGCTGGGCCCACACCTCGCGGGCTAAGTTCGCTGGCCCTGGTCGTGCTCGTCATGCTCAGATGTGCATCCCTGAGCACTTAGAACCTCGCGGCGTCCGTCCGATGGCCGTGCCTGGAGGCCACGTCTGGTCTGCTTCGTGCCCCCGCGCCGGGCATACGCCAGCTGCTCTCAGGAGCAGGTTCTGTCGTTTTCTGTGTACCAGGCAGTGTTCTATGTGCTTGGCAAGACTCCGTCATTGAACCTTGCTAGCAACCATGCAGTGTGCTCTAGTGTGAACCCCCTGACGTGCACGGGCACGTGGAGTGCGAGGTTAACGCCGAGGACCACGTGCAGTGACTGCCCCGTGACCGGTTGCTGTAGTGACTGAGAGGGAATGAGTGCGGGGACGGGGCCTTTCCCCCAGAAGCCCTGGAGGGAGTGGAAGGCCTGGGGGTGGCTCTGGGCGTGGGGGCTCCATGGGGAGAACCTGCTGTTGGCGAAGTCCACGTCCACATGTCGGCCTCACTACGCCAGCTGTGTGGCTTGAGCAGGTTGCCTAACCACTCTGAGCCGGTTTCCTTCTCAAGTGCTGCACCAGAGAACAGTGGATGACATGGGGGGAGACTGGAGTGTCCTCCTGAGGTGGTCGCATCTGGCCTGAGGCCAGAGGTTGAAATGGTGCCAACTGTGCAAAGAACTTAGGGGAGCATCCCAGGCACGGGCACCGAGTGCAAAGCCCAGAAACGGGACGGCTTCATGGGGTCAGGCCAGGAGGGTGGAGGAGGGTGCCACCGGCCAGAGCCTGGCGACCAGCTGGGCGGGGTGGGCGGGGCACGAGAGATGTGGTCAGAGGGGCAGCAGGGGGCAGGCTATGCGGGGTCTTCAGGGCCATGATGGGGTTGGGTTTTACACCCGCACTGGGGAGCTGCTGAGTCACGATGAGCAGAGGGGTGAGAAGACCTACGTCATCGTCATGCTTTCACCGCGCGTGCGCCCTGGCTGTCTGGGCAGAGCGGACGGGAGAAGGGGCGCGAAGCGAGGCCACCGTGGTGCGAGGCGGGTGCCGGCCGAGGATGGGGAGGGGCGACCAGACACGTGCGTTGGAGGTGGAGCCCTGGGGGGAGCTCACGGGTCGTCGTGGTGGAGGTGAGCCGTGAGCAGAGGCACCCCGAGGTTTGTCGAAGGACGGGGCAGCCGATCGTGCATTCGCCGCGGTGGGGAAGCCTGACCTGAGACTCTTCCACGGTGTTTCATTCGTAGCAGAGAGAACTGAGAATTCTGTTTGGGGCAAATTAAGTGTGAGGTGCTTTTGAGACATCCAGGTGGAAGTGACTTGGAAAGTAACTGGATGTTCAAGACTAGAGCTCGGAAGGCAGGTCGGTGCTGGAAATCCATGTGCGGGGTCAGGTTTTACATGCAGGTGCAGTCGGAGCCGCGGCCGGAGTGAGACCGGCTAGCGAGGGGTGCGGCCGGAGGGAGACCGGCTCGCGAGGGGTGCGGCCGGAGGAGAGGCCGCAGCACACCGCCGCCTTCCCCGTCTGCGGCTGAGATGCCTCGCGCTGCAGCGTGAGGTTTTCCATGTGTGAGAAACGCCTCATCAGAAGTTTCTGGGTTGTTTCTTCGGTACGTGCCCCTAGAGGGAACCGAACCCAGGACTCCCTGGTCTGCAGGCCGCCGCTCCGACCGCTGAGCCAACCCGGCCAGGGCTTTCGGAAGACTGTAATGGCCGCATCCTTCCAACGTTCTGTACTGGACCTGGCCGTTCTCTTAGCGTTACTAGACGTGCTGCGTCCTGCTTCTCGGGAAGCCTCCGTGAACAGCCGGGCACATCCCTGTTTGGGGTGCGTTCTGTGTGGGGTCCGAGAAGACTGGGGGCTGGAGACCCCCTCTAGGAATTGTGTGTGAGAGACGAGCAGGCACGTCCGACTCCGGCCGTGGTTGACTAGGCGATTCTGACCCACCCTCCGTGAAGACAGGAGAAAGCAGGCCCAAGTGTTATAAAACTACTGTGTGAAGGTGCCGGGAGTTAACGGGATACAGTGAAGAATCACAGGACCGGGACCCGGAATAGACGGAGGCCAGGGGCTGAACCTGGTATCCGGGCTGCTTTTTCCTCTCGAGGTGTTTTCCGATTTCAGAGGAAGCAGCGAAGAGGCTCGGCCGCTGAGTGGTGCTCACCATACCCTCGAGAGGCCGAGGTGACAGGAATTACCGCCCGGCAAACCGCCTGCCTGGGACCGCAGAGGGCTGCTCAGAAGAGTGATAGCCAGAAAGAGCTCCTCCCGGAGGCGGAGCCTCTGACCCTGGCGTGCTGTGCCGTCGGGCTTCCTGGGGTACAGCTGCCCCAGGTGTCTGGAAATACACGTCCTCTCTGGAAAAAGGGAACATCATCCTCGGTTTTAAATTATTTGTCAGACTTTTCATATATGTTCTCTGGTGCTCAATGAAAAATAACATGAGGTACCCGGCCGATGTGGCTCAGTGGTTGAGCATCAACCCTGCACCAAGAGGTCGCCGGATGAGTCCCAATCAGGGCACATGCCCAGGTTGTGGGCCTGATCCCCAGTGGGGGGCGTGCAGGAGGTAGTCAGTCAGTCTTCTCTTTCATTGATGCCTCTCTCTCTCTCTCTCTCTCTCTCTCTCCTTTCCTCTCTCTAAAATCAATTTAAAAAATAACATGAGGTGACAACATGAAAATCTAAAGAAAACCATAGTTAATTGGGGGGGGGGGGGCTTCAGATAGCAGACAAAAGACAAGATTGGAAATGTCAGCCAAAGACAGGGTACACCGTGAAAGGGGATCCAGTGAAAATTCAGGAACGGAAGAAAATACAACCAAAATTAAGACATCAGTAGTGGAGTTCGGCCACAAAAGGAAGGACTCGTAAATGGAAGGTAGACCAGTTGAAAAT